AATGTAAGCAATGTAAGCAATTTTCACATACCTCCATCTATTGTGAAACCTTATTATCTTTTTGCACTTACAAATGGATGTCTTGTTTGTTTTATGGGGATCAACTGTAACCTGTAACATCAGCCTGCACAGGGACTACAGGTGGAAATTGGCATATTTTCTAAAATACTGGTACACACAATACATCTCTCCCTTGTGTTATAGTTATTGTACACTGTCCCTGTTCAAATAAAATACATACCATACCCCATGTTAGTTATTATAAATATCAGCAAGCCTATTTATTTAATTTGCTTTGAAAAGTCGATTTTTGCCACTTTTGTCAAAAAAAAAAAAAAAAGGTCGCAGAGTTATGTGCTAAACATACAAAAACACTCAGCAACTCTACTGAATTAACTTGTGTGCTACAATTCCACTTTGACTTTTCTACGTGCTGAAATAAAAGATCTGTTTTACTGTTTAGTGGTGGAATGAATGGAAATAACGGTTATGAAAATGTTAAAATAACTTAACTTTGACTCTGTAAAAATCTCACAATAATAACTTTACATGTTGTATAGTATTATTAAACGAACAATTATGAATAACAATAATATGGACCGTTCTGGATTAGTCCTTGAAATATGTATTCCTGAGATTCCGATGTCTCACTTTTTTTTCCCACCGTTTGGTTTTGATATGTTTTTTGGCTGTTCCTTGCCAATGCAGTGTATGGTCTAATGCCACGTTCAGACCGGATAATGCGTTGCGTCGGCTTTCAATGCAAAGTCAATGGTGACGCGCGTTCGAGCGTCAGAATGCACAAATCGCAACCAATCAGAGCCGCAAAGTGGTCACGGGGACATTAGCGGTCTGAGCGAGCAAACTGAAAATATTCGTAAACAGCCAAAACAGGAGCTACATCAGGACTAAAACCAGGGTTGACAATGGGGGACATAGTGCTTGTCAACATGTGAGTTGTCATGCTCCCGTGACTTTATGCATCTGCTTCGAGCATGTTCGTCGATGAGGAAGTACCATTTAATAATAAAATAAACTTATTGCGCACCTCCGTGAACACATACTACTGTTATATAAAGTCTCTGGAAGGTCTCTGAACACAGACATGCTGCAAAGCTGCATTATTGGTGAAGATCTTTACACAAGAAGCCTCTAGCTAAACTCTGTTAGCATCAGAGTCCGCCGGCTACTTCCGTCACTTCCGCCACTGAAGACCCCTGCATCTGAAAACTAGATAAGCACCATTAGGGCAGTGATTAATCCATTCCAAGTTCGCACTGTTGGATTTTCTGATTAGTTTGTGAATCAACAACTTTGTAAAGTCCTCTTTTTGGGACTATACAAAAATACATTGAATTGAGATTGATCAAACTTACACCTTGTTCACTTCAGTTCAAATCTTGTGTAGAATTCCCTTTTTCTTCCTTTGCATTTTTTTGTGAGCTTGCCACACCACTTTTGGATTTTCAAGTTCACTAAAAGCTTTACAAGTAGTATTTGGGTCACTCAGTACTTTTTGCAGTCACATCAAATAGTTTAATTTTGTGCTAAATGCAATTTCAGTTTGACGGAACGTAGAACTAATACAATACAAGAAAACTGCAGCATTAGTGTGTTTTTTTTTTTTTTTGCAAGTAGCGTGAAGAGAACAAAGCCTGAAGGAGCTGAGGTTTGCAGCAGCCTTCCTCTCTCTTCCTCCACCTCCTCCTCCTCCTCACTTGTATCTGCTTCCACAGCGAGTTCATCCAGAGGTGAACGCCTGACAAAAAATTCATACTTCTCCCACCCCACCAAAAAAAAAAAAATCTCAAATATTCTCTTTATGTGTCAGAAATATTGACATTCTCTTGACACAACATCCCGCAGCACTGCAAGTTTCATCAGCCGGTCCGTTTCAGAAGTCTGCAATCTCTGCCGAAAGCCAAAAGAGTGGGTTCACATCCTTGCATCTATATTGCACTCCCCTACATTCTGTACACTGGTCCATGCGCCTTCTCTGTTAAAGCTCTGACTGTTCACATCCAAAATGATTGATAAAAATTTAAAACAGACTCTTCCACATGGTGTTAAGTTGACATCTTGATTTAAAATTGATGCTGGTGTTTAAACTTCTGATTTAAATGGGGAATAGAAATTGCATATGGGCTTCCAAAAATAGACAAAGCAAATTAGATGAGGAATTTGGGCCGATGACAAGATTTGGGCATTCACAGGGAAACGGTGACATCTAGTGGTGACAATGGAAAATAATAGGAAGGACTTATGCATTCACTATATGTTAGGAATAATTGAATACAAATTAATCTATCTTATTTTGCCAGTAGTTGATTAGTCTCATGCAGGCTATTACTTTGCTATGTGTATCTTAGTATCTGAAATATTTGTACTTTAAGTTGAATATTTGTCCTACAGTTTATAATGGGGTCTTTACTTTTTTTGTTTTGGTGTTTTAGTGTGTTGGTGTCCTTTCAGGAAGCGGATTCACATGTGAGACAGTGCCCAATTTAGGTAAAATATACGTCTTTGTTATAAAGGTTTAAATTGGAAAATATTGATTAGATAAATATGTGACTGTGCAAAGATATGTCAAGAACCATATTTGATTGTTTACATATGATTTTTATAAGAAAGTATGTACTAAAACAGTGAATTTATCTTTGTTGGCTCAAAGTAACGTCATGCACATGTAGCACTTTAGTTGGAAGAATATGATGCTAATGAATGTCCATGTGCTGAATTGAATTATAAGCAACATACTCAATGTTTTTGTCATTCCATCTACAATTTCAGTTTTAACTATTGTTGCTTGTAGGAATTGGACATGAAAACGTTTTATGGAGCAAAGATTGGAGTTAGGGACATTCCATCTGACAGCTTGAGGAGGAGAGTGTCAGTGGAGTAGAATGGACCCCAGATCCAGGTTTGAGACATAGTTGGGTGGTCAGGGGCATTCAGGGTTGCCAGTCTGGTTTGTAAGGGTGTGTTTGGGGGTGTGCAAACCTGTGTGCAAGTAGTGACTGATTGTTTATATAGGAGATGGACATGCCAGTGACTAATTATATAAATGAAGACGCGGCTGAAGATGAACACCCCATAATTCCAACTTCCCTGACTATCCTGAATGGCAAGACAGTCTCCCAAGATTAAGATATTTTCTCCCGTTTTCACAACTTCAAGTATGTTTTTCTCAGAAGACATGATGTCCTTGATTGTAGAGCAGTCAAATCTGTATGCCATACAGTGTAACCTGTGTGTAACAGGCCTCTCAACCTCCACACTAAAGAACTTGAGCAGTTCATGGGTAAAGTGGTCTTACATGTCACTGTTTGGCTTATCAGCCACACGAGCAAGGCAAGTCGGGTGCACCAAATTGCTAACACCATGAATCTGAACTGATAGGAGGCCTTCAAGAAGCCCAGATCCACTTTACAAAATTAGACCACTGGTAGACCATCTTACTGCAAAATTTAAATCCATCCCAATGACTGAAACATTAGCTGTGGACGAACAAATAGTTCCCTTGAAAGAAAAGCACAAGAACAAGCAGTACCTGCCATCCAAACCCAAGAAATGTGGGTACAAAATACTTGTCTTAGCCAGTTCTGAAGGTATACTACACAACTTTGAGGTAACCCCTTACCTGGTAGATATAGGTGCAAGTGGGAATGTTGTCCTTTGTCTGGCTGAACCTGTACCAAGGCAACAGAACCACAAGTGGATCTTTGACAACTGGTTCACTAGTGCTCCTCTCATCCTCACACTTGCTCAGGAAGGAAAATACTGTTTTGTTACATAAAACTTTCAATTGTGATTCCTTTGAGATTCATTTTCATCATTTTATGCATAGTGAAAACCTTGGTGTTTTAGTACCTTTGTTGCGCAATGTTGCCCTGAAGCAACAAACCAATATCTGGTTGAGGGGGGTGTGGGGGGCAAATATTGTAATTGATATGTTATCAGAGACCCATAAGCTCTCAAAAGGTGGTTTGAAATATTTTCTTTTTTTTTCAAAAATAAAAGTCATGCCATAGAGTGTTAGGTAACGATTCCATTGATTTTTATAGAAATGTATTTTGTTGTCAACTCAAAGGCTAGAAGTACTGTTGATATATCACATCTACTTTTATCATTTTCTCTAGCACATTTTACTAATCAAAAGAGATTCCAAAATGTTGACAAAAACCTCATACACCAAAACCGATCTAGTAAGAGTACGTAAACATGCATGTGCATTAGATTCAATATTCAAACATATAAAAGGTTGAATTACTACTTTAAGTTTTTTATATATATATATTCAGGTTGAGTTGGATTTTCACACCTTAATTACACAAGAGGTTAATTTTCTCTTTTAGCTGATTTCACAATTTTGAACTAAACACAAGATTACGTGGAGCATACAGCAGACTAAACACCAAGAGAAAAAAAATAGTTATTGTAAAAATGTAGTTCTGAAAATACAGGCAAGGCTATAATATAAGATTCTGATTCTGAATATATGACAACCTTCAAAACAATGGAAGCATTAGCTCTTCAATTTGTTTCTATTGAAATAAAAGAGCAACCAAAACCATACAATGATTTGGACCGAACAACACAAACCCCACTGTGCTTTTCCATCTGTTGCACTGAACTGATTAGAGACCAGTGTTGACTGTGTAGTAGGTGAATTGCGCCATCTAGTGGAGGAGAGGTTTTTCACATGATCGCCTTACAATACATTTCCAAGAATAATTAATATAATGTGGGTGAGTATTTATGCGCTCTCAAGGGTCCAAGCTTAAAAAAGGCAGAAAATGATTAAAGGCATTTAGATAAAACGGACAGCAAACATAGTCTTTTGCATATTATTGATGAAGACATGTGTAGTTTACGGGAGGAAGGAGTGCAAAAGTTGAATCCATTTGAAAGAGGCATCAGTCATGTTATCCTTTGGGCTGGTCAAAAATCATAATCGACACAAGTTGTAGGTTGCTTGAAATCTTTTGTGTAACTTCTTGTTAAACGTGTGTGTCCAGGCGAATGCGCTGTTAACAAAAACCCAACTGTTATACAGACAAAACATTGTATGACAAAAATACCCATTCTTACTTTGGATTTCATTGGATTTTTGAGGGTGATATGCAACTGCGCGGCATTTACAGCGTCAGAGATAGAAACTGAAAGACACACAAGGGAAGTTTTAGTCAATCGTAGACACATCAAAATACCGTCAGTGTGAATAGATCTGCATTATCCAAACGGCCTTCAGTTATGACAAGTTCAACAGGCAAAATCTGAAGCTTCCAGGTGTGATGACTGATGTGAGAGTCAAAATACAGAAGAGTGTTGGACCAAAGTTGAGTAAATGCCGTGCACATATAAACACACGCGCACACACACACACACATACGCACGCACAAACACACGCACACAAGTAGACAACGGAATCAATGTAATAACGTTATGGGAGACGTGCACAATGCAATGTCACTGTTTTGTACAATACATATGACATTTTAGAATTTAGAGATTTAGAAATGCAATGGACGCTTACACTTTGAGGTAGAAAAGTATTTGATATCAGGAAAAAAAGTATTCATTTTACGGACATACTTTTTGTGCCAGGACAATAAAGAAGGGATAAAAGTTGCTCTTCTTACCTTCTGCCTTCTTCTTCTACTTCAGCGTCTTCACTCTTGACGTTTGATGTTGAGTCACGTCGAGGCCAATCTTCCTCTTCTCCTCTTCTTCCTCTTCATCTTCTGGGGACTGTGCCTGGCGGTGCGTTCCTTTATTTATACTGCGAAGTCGCCGCTCTACACGTTTCTGGTATTTTCCAGAACCTTCCTGCAGTTTCATTATTTGTCCAGTAGGGGGAGACACTGGCTCATTGTACAAGTCACCAACAATATCACTGCTTGGTTTGGTTTGTTGTTTTTCTGTCAGACACAGACCTGAACCTGAACTCTCTATGCCAGGCAATATCAAACTAAGGACCGTGGGCCGAATCCGGCCCGCGAGACCGTTTTTAGTGGCCCCTGAAATGCTTTTCATGTATCATTATTATAGTAATTTGCAGCATTGATGGTAATGGGATACTATGACATGTTATACTTTTATCGGGAAAACAACCATACAATTGAATCTGTTCTAAAATGCTTATTTTTTGTAATACATTTTTTTTAACAAATCTTTGATCTATCTTTTTTACATATTTGGCCCAGCTGTGATTGAAAAAAAAAAAATCCAAAATCCATAAAATTATTTGGTCAATATACAATAATATGTAAATAAATATAGACAAAGTAAACCACATTTTTAGTTTTGGCACCAACCAGCTCTTAAATTTTAAACTTGACCCCCGACCAAAATGAGTTTGTCACCCCTGCGCTACACCATGAGCCCATGGGTGTTTTATCGTCAATTTGTTTTCTCAGTCAATCAAAAGAATACATGCATCAAATGCACTGACAAAAAGGCGCGTTCAGACCAAAAGCTTCAAAAAGCTTTTGACGCGCTTCAACTGACGCTGGGATAGTTTTGTCATTTTGGTGCTTGAAGCTTTTGACGCGGGTGACGCGAGTGACGCGCCTGACGCCGGTGGGAGGAGCTTCTCTGTTTTCTGTAGTCAGGACAGCGGTGGATTTTTCAATGAGCAGCGAGCCTTTATTTGTTATATAAAGCAAAATAACGTTGTTGTAGGGCTTCAACAAAACATGTTATGGGTTCACCACAGACTTGAGAGGCTGCAGTGTTTGCAGAGTTCCGTCATTTACTCCAGGAGCTGCGTACGGAGGAGTTTCGCTTTCAGCGGTACTTCCGCATGTCACTCGCCCAGTCTGAGTTCTCAAACCCCGGAGCTCGCCTCTCCCCGCCTCTCCCCGGCTCTCGCTCGCCTCTCCCCGGCTCTCGCTCGCCTCTCCCCGGCTCTCGCTCGCCTCTCCCCGGCTCTCGCTCGCCTCTCCCCGGCTCTCCCTGCCTCTCCCCGGCTCTCGCTCGCCCAGAGCTGCCTTGCTCTGAGCCAGACCCATCGTCAGCCTGTTCTTATTTTAAATAAACTACGTTTACTACACAGCATGTGTACAATGATTTTTGTTACTCAGAACGTTACTACTCATAAAAATAATATTACTAATAACAATAATGACAATAAAACAGCAGCAGCAGATACATGACTTCTCTCCATGACAGAGACAGACCCTCTGCTGCTGCTGCTGCTCCTCGTCTCCTGATTGGTTGAAGCCCGCGTCAAAGCTTCAAAAGCTCAGCTTTGCTCAGCTTCGGTGTCAAAGGGATTGTTTTGATACGCGAGCGTTTCGCGCGTCAAAAGCTTCAAGTGAGCGCGTATTACGCGCGACCTTTGAAGCTTTTGACGCGCGCCAAGTGACGCCGGGCCCCTCGGCTTCACCTGACGCGCTTCACCATTCACTTTCAATGCAAACCTGACGCTTTTGACGCCGAAGTTAAGTCCGGTGTGAACGCCCCTTGCTCAAAATAAAGCTGTATTGTTATTATTATCTTATTTATAATCAAATAAAATGTAATAGATACATCAGAACTATAATGTAAACTCACAAACTAGAATTATAAGCTTTACACTAACTCCAACAGCAGTCAATTTGACAGATGTTATTTTTTGGAAGTGTTATTACTCAGCTTAAAAAAATGTTGTGTGTTTTGTTTTCTGTAAAAGTTGTTTGTAAAATTTGTTTTTTATCTTTAGAATGTGAGAAGTTTGACCATAGTAGTAATTTTAACGGCTCCGTTCATTTGTATGTAAAATTCACATTTGGACGCAGTTCGAGACATTCTGTTTTTTTCCAGAACCTTCCCGCAGTGTCCTGATTTGTCCAGTGGGGGGAGACACTGAGTCAAGTACACCAAGTCACCAACAATGTCAAGTTGGTTTGTCGTTTGTCTGTTAGACTGAACCTGAACTCTCTACGCAGGCAAAGTCAAACTCAGGCCGTGGGCCAAATCCGGCCCGTGAGACAATTTTTAGTGGCCCCTGAAATACTTTTGAATTATCATTTTAACTATCAGTAATTTGCAGCAATGGTTGTATTGTTTGTCATGTTCTTTTTTTTCTATTTTTTTTGGAATGTAAGAAGTTTGAGCATAGCAGTCATTTTGATGGTTTCTTTCATTTGGATGTAAAATTTACTTGAACGCTTGGTAAGAAAGGTACTGGTTCTGGTCCTGAGTCAAGTAAGCTCAGTTTCCCACCAGAGAAGCGCAGGTACTAGTTACCATGGCAACTCACTGTTTACTGGTAGCAGTTATATTTGAGCCTGTCAACAATTGTTTTTATCTTTATTTCAGCACGTATTAAAGTGAGTAAAACCTAAACATTAACCTAAATTACTTACTTTTCAGAAAACTGTTAGAAAAGTAAATCAGTTATTTTTTCTTTTTTTCCAGAAATCCTTTGATTTGAATGGGAGTTCTGTTAATAGTGATTTTGCATACATAAATATATTGTTTTGTTTTATTGCAGAACCCTATTTTTCAGTGACTGGTGTATCCGCTCTGTAACTGCAGATTACCATTCGGATGTAAAATAAAACTAATCAATTTTAGCAATGTGATAATTTTTAGGCCCTGTCCACACGAAGTCAAGCTCAGGCCTAAACGCAAAAATACTTTATCAATCCAGTGTATCGTCCATACGAGGCCGGCGTTTTGGGGGGGTGTAAACGAACATTTTTGAAAGTAGGTCCCAGAGTGGAAAGATTTCAAAACTCCGTATATGCCGCTCCGTGGTTACTGCCTCTCCGCAATGTATCTGAGACGCTTGCGTCATCGCCCCGCCTCTTGTTAAAGCACGCATGCGCCGCACTCAGAAAATAATGACAACAACAATGTAGCTTGTTGGTTTTGTAATCCAGTGCGACCCGAAGCAACAGTTCAACCTCATCGTCCGTCCATACTAATGTAGTACCAGCTCGCCCACTCGCCATGTTGTCTGTTTACAAAATTCTGCGCATGCCCAGTTCCCGTCACGGAAGTTTGGGCTTGATCCCGTCATTGCGTCACAGCGCCACCAACAGGTCTGGCATAGTTTCACAGCGTTTTCAGGCGTATTGACTACATTCATATGGACGCACACATTTACTGAGCTAACTCCGTGTTTACAGAAAAAGTTTCTGAAATTATAAGCGTTTTGTCTTCGTGTGGATATAGCCTTAATCATCCATTGCAGGTTCGCCTCTCAATGATATTACTCGTCGTGTCCACTAGATGGCCGTGTGGACAAACGTATACAGTCTATGCATGTAATACAAGCAGCAACTTTCAAATCCCTGCAATAAATGACTCAAAAACATGAATGAACTCTGCATGGACTCCAGCTCTCCGTCAACACCATCACAAAACACAATATTATTTCAGGTAGTTCAGTGAATTAATAACTCACTCCCGCCCATTCCCCAGTGGACCCTTTGCCTCTTTGCTCCCCCAGTTTAATGCAGTCATTTCCCCACTCCCTCTCTAAGACTGGCTCCTGTCTGACTCTACAGATCTTTCCCAGAATGTGAAGATTGTCCCATAAATGTGGCAGAGCAGGGTGGAGTGACTGTAAGGCACAGTAGTAAAATACTGGAGGGATTTGACATTTGTGTAAGAGCTAATTAAGAAGTGTGCATTGTTGTTTTGAATCATGCTTCTTCGACATTAAGATACAAGTTTTCTAGAGACTTTGGAAAATGCTTTGCCAAGGGAAATAGGTTATATTAATTGTAGTCCTCCAAAAAAAAACAAATAACACAAAAAATTTCAAAAAAGACACACAAAAACTACGTGCATGAAATATTATAGTATCTATTATAGTATCTGAAATTCTGAATAGTGTTTGTGAAATGCATGATGATTAGAATGCAAAGAAATCTTCTTCAGAGGTTATTCTCAAATGGGTCTCCCTCCCTGTGGGTTTCCCTAGTTCTCCCCAAGGTTTCTCACTTTTTCCCACTGGGTTTTTTAAGAATTTTTCCTTGTCGATGCAGGAGGGTCTTGTTGGACAGTTAGTGTCCAACAGAAAGGATTGGTGATAATCAGGACACTTTAGCATTCTACAACATGTATGGACATTTTCTTCTGTGTGTGCTTTATATTCTTCATGTGTTTTAACTGTTGATTCTCTGATCTGTGTTGGTGATTTCAATGGTTTTGTTAAGTCTTCTGAGATGACTTCTATTGTGACATAGGGCTATACAAGAATACATTTTATTGTATTGTATTGTATTATTGCACCCTCTAGTGGCCAAATTACTGTACTGTGTCTATTTGTAGAATGAAGCAATCATACAGTAAGAACTTTATTTATATAGTGCGTTTAATAGACAAAGAAGAAAACATTTACATTTTTTTTACAGCTGTGAGCCAACTATCAACATTGTACAAATAAAGGCTCGATATATCCCAGAAGTTACAGAACAATTTTTGAACATGTTCAAATTCTCTGATCTCTGATTCTCACTTGATCCATGATTTTGTGTTGCTTTTATTGTTGTATCACCTAATTGTCCCAGGCCAGTAAAACAGCCCTGCGGCCATCGGAAAGGAAAGATACTCGCTCAAAACCCACAGCAACAACAGGATTTATGCTATCGAACAGTCCTATAGTTGCAATTTCATGACGTTATTTTGTATTTTCTAATTGTGGACTACAGATGGAGTCTGTGTGGTAATCTGGTTCAGAGCATATCTACCTTTTTAAGTTAGGATAAGATAAGATAAACCTTAATTCATCCCTCAGTTGTTTAAGAAAATAGATTAAAAAAAAAAAACAGTTAGATAATACACTCTGGATGCATAATTTAACTTCATTAAGATGAAGAGATCCTTTAATCTTTCCACAGTGGGGACATTTTTTATTTCATCACCAGATACAGAACAGTCATAACGCTATACTTACAAATAACATAACTTCTCAAACTTTAGCATAATAAGGAAGCATGTATAAATTACTGTATATGGGCTTGTTCACACTAAAGGGCACAAAAGTGTGACAAAAGGCCAAAAATTAGATTTTAATAATCAGAAGATATTTTATGTTTTTCATGTTTCCAAGCACCTCCTCTGTCCATTAAAAGTTTCTAGAACATAACTGTTTTATACATTAGACAAGTTTCCTATAGCGGCCCTGTTTATTTTATCTAACGGATGTGATGATTTGACGGAATGAGCTTTGTGCAAGTTTGATAGGTATTTTCAGATGTCCACATTTGATTCAGAGATTCTACTTTTTTACACAAAGTAGATGCAAAGTGATACTTTCATATTGTCAAGCAAATAAATGTGAAAACAGACCAGATTTTTTTTTCTCTCAAGTTTAATTTTTAGAGAAAAGAGGACCGTCCTCATCACGTCCGTTATACATTTTTCAGGGGTCATTTAATTAATTAATTATTTTTTATTTTTTAACGATTCCTTTTTATATCAAGTGATTTCCTCCTGTTGTGGTAACCATGTAAATCTTGTGGGATTTCATCTTCTGCTTTTTCAGACTGAGGACATTTCTTTTTCTATGTAACTGGCGTCACAGTAGAATGGTCCAATCAGAGGCTCATTTGGTCGTTTAAAATGTTGCTAAACATTTTTATGTCAATCTTTCCTTTTGATTTTTTCCACACTATCTCTTCAATGTGTCTGTGTTTGAAATCTTTTTTCCAATCTATGAAAGTAATTTTAGTTTTTAAGTTATAACCTTTTAAAGTCCAGATACTTCAATTGTCACTTTACTGTGAACACACTCATATTCTAGTGCAAGAATTATGATTGTAGATTGACATCTTCAGAAATCCACCACTCTCTCCCTGGTCTCCCCCCGCGGTGATGAGGACGTGGTTTTGCGAAAAATTTGCTTTCTACATTTCAGAATGAATCATTATGAAACAAAAAGTAAACCAATGCTGCTCCATCACCGCACTGAGATAACGATGTAGCAATCGATTAAAAAAAATAATGTTTTAGAAGTAATTTAGCTATTCATTCCACTCAAGGTATACGAAAACAAAAAATCTTAAAATCATTCTAGCATTTGAACAATATTAATTACTGATTTCCACAGGCTGCAATTTTAGGGCAAAAACATTTCTCCTCCACTGTTCCTTCTTTCTGTTTGTCCCATTGACTTTCCACTCAGACGTTGTAATTGTCCCTTAATGAGCAGGGTGTGTTTGAACCAGACACGTTTTACAACTCTCATGACCATTTCAGCTCTTTTTTTGTGTGGCTGTCTGCATCTTTTTCAACAAACAACTCCAATCAGCAGTGACCGCGTGCTCTGTCATGAATGCAACACAGTGGGAAATGAAATGCAAGGGTCATAAATCAAACTCAAATCTGAGACATTAGGATATCTACACCAAAATATATGTTCTGTAATGTGTTTTCCCAGAGCCCCCACAAAGCCCTGATTGTAGCTTGTATAGGAGAAAAACAGGACCCCTATTGCCCGGCTTTTCCAATCTGACGACTCCATCACACCTCATAAAGCAGCAGACCAGGGATGTGGCACAGACGTGGCGCGTAAGCAATGCACACACAATGGAATATTTGATTACTTCAGGGATTAAGGGCATGTTGTCACTTTTAGAAATACATTTTAAAGGTCTTCCACTCTACACAATGAACAATATATCAATATACAATTCATAATTTAAGTTGTAATTCCATCTTTCTATCTTTTATCCAAATACCAAGTTTGAATCCTATAAAAAAGTAGATCTAAATTATGTGTGTGATTGTGCGATCGGTCTATATTTTTATTGAACTGTCAAGCATTTTGTGTGATATCTTTTGTCTGAATAGTGTTTTATTTATATCCTTAGTTCTGGATCTATCGCCCGTCGGTCCGTGGGAGTGGATCTCTCTCAATGTGTCTCCCCGAGGTATCTGACTTTTTCCCACAGGCTTTTTTTATATTCGACTGAGTTTTTCCTTGGACATAATGGCTTAATGTGTTTTCTATCATTGCATTTCTTTAGTTTGAACTAATTGATTATCTGATCTGTGTTGGTGAATTCAACGATTTGTAAAGTCCTCAGAGATAACCACTGTTGTGATTTAGGGCTATACAAGAATACATTGAATTGATAAGAGAAGATAGACTTTATTGATCTCACACAGGAGATATTTCCATTTCATTTCATTTCATTTTCATTTTCAAGCCCTCTATTGTCCATTTCTGGGACAGGGGGGTGGCAATAAGAGCTGCCACCCACTGCCACCCATTGATCATAGCACCAGTCCCTCGCTGATCCTCTGCAGGGGGTGAGTCCACAGGAAGATGGCTGCTCTGTCAGTGGTGAAACAGCCTTGGTCTTTCAGCGGGGGCTTCAGGCAACGTGGGGTTAAATGTCTTGCCCAAGGACACAACGACAGTAGACATCAGTGGGAATAGTTGGAGTAGGTCCCATGGTGGGAATCGAGCTCGCGACCTCCAGGCTCAAAGGCCACTGCTCTACCAACTGAGCTACTGTCGCCCCCCGAGATATTTCATGTAACATCTGGCATGGATAGCATCACTCAAGAATGTGCAGAAGAAAGAAATGTGCAAACATGTTTAAATGCAGGAAATATTATGTACAATAAAAAGTGGCAATTCAAAAGTGGAAATCAAGAAACAGTGGCAATAGTAGTGCAGGTTTTTTGAGTTCTTGTGGAAGTGACTTAAAGTGACTTATTGTACAGTCTGACAGCGGTGGGGGTGAAATTAATTGCTTTAATGATAATACAAGAGTGATACAGTAAGATAAATCTGCAATGTAACTTTCTGGGCCCAAAGGTCGTGGGTTTGAGCCCACCACGAGACCTTCTCCACCGATTCCCGCTGATGTCTGCTGTCGTTGTGTCCTTGGGCAAGACACTTAACCTACCTTAGCCTATAAGGAGCGCGGAGGTTCGCTGCTTGCCTTGATATGTATGTATATGTATAATGTGTACGTGTATGCATCACCTTCTTCTATTGGACCTTAAATTTGATCTTGAGACTGTTCACTTTGGCATTTCATGTGAACAATAAATATTGTTTGTGTGTATAATTTTCATTGTTTTATTGTTTGTATAAAAATGTATGTATAATAACCAGCCATGGTAGTAGCATATACAGTATTAGGTTGCATGCCTTCATAGTTAGACACTGTCATTCACTTTAATAGACAAAATCCTTCGTCAACATGGTGAGCTGTTCATAATGTCATAGTCTGGGAACGTGTTTGTCCCGGATTCGGTTTCTTCCAGACGTTCCTGATATTAACGTGGATCAAGCTAAAAATAACGTAAGGTATGATGTCGTAACGTGGTTAAAAGCTCAACAAAGCTTATTTAAAGTTTATCCAGGAGCAACAGACGTCTCTCGACACACATACTCCTCGCTTTCAGCAGGTACACCCCACACTTTCCTCTATCACTTATTGTACAAAGAGCCCTAATCACCCTAAAGGTCACTTTCATCCTTCATCCCCACAAAGAGCAGATTCTATAGGGAGCACACTTGTTCGTAGCTTGCTTCCTGTGTGACTTGGATTCCGTGCGGTATTTGAACAGATGTGGGTAGACTGTGAATGTGCCTAGATCCCCCCTTCCCTGACCCGGTGTTGCACTTCCTGAGCCGAAAGCTAACACCCAGGCAGAACAATCGTAGCCTGTAGCCACTCCTCGTGCACTACACATGGGCCTTGCGCAGAGATATGAGGTCAGCGAGAGGCGGTAAACATGCAAACACTGGAGGTTTGCACTCGACAGAAACGCACCGACAGCTAATGGAGTGTGTTGTGTTTGGATGTATTCATGAGGGGACAGTAGAGCACTCATAAAGCTAATTGGATCAGTGAGAAAATATATATTTACTTGGTTTTATCGGACAGGAACGAATGAAAAGTGCGTTTGAGACTGGTTTTTGCGAGCTTAGTTGTTGTGTTAACCCTTTAGGCGCCAAAGTAGTGGAATTACTACACAGGCTTGTAGATCCAGGACATTTTCTTTTCAGCAACACAACTTCTCATGAGCGTTTACTTACATTTTTCATCCATCCATCCATTTTCTTTGGCTTCATCCGTTGCCAGGTTGCGGGGGAAGCAGTTTAAGCAGAGACGCCCAGACTTCCCAGTTTTTTATTAGATATTTTTCATTGTATTGATTTTTTGTTAATAATATTAGCAGTTCTCTATCTCTTATAATGCTTTCTGTAAAAACACCAAGAAGAGAAGTCAAGAAGCACGTCTGTAGAAGCACGTCTGTAGAAGCACGTCTGTAGAAGCACGTCTGTAGAAGCACGTCTGGAGAAGCACGTCTGGAGAAGCACGTCTGTAGAAGCACGTCTGGAGAAGCACGTCTGGAGAAGCACGTCTGGAGAAGCACGTCTGGAGAAGCACGTCTGTAGAAGCACGTCTGGAGAAGCACGTCTGGAGAAGCACGTCTGTAGAAGCACGTCTGGAGAAGCACGTCTGTAGAAGCACGTCTGTAGAAGCACGTCTGTAGAAGCACGTCTGGAGAAGCACGTCTGTAGAAGCACGTCTGGAGAAGCACGTCTGGAGAAGCACGTCTGTAGAAGCACGTCTGGAGAAGCACGTCTGTAGAAGCACGTCTGGAGAAGCACGTCTGTAGAAGCACGTCTGGAGAAGCACGTCTGGAGAAGCACGTCTGGAGAAGCACGTCTGGAGAAGCACGTCTGGAGAAGCACGTCTGTAGAAGCAGCCCACGAGACCACGCCAGGCCAATGTATTTCTTTAGTTTTACTTTTTATTAACTTAAAAACCATTTTCTCTAAATGCATGCGAATCCAGAGACATCGATTGGGAGAACTGCTCTGGGCTATTTCTGTATGCTGCTCACGTGTCTGATTCTGACAGTTGAGAGGTGTGTAAGGTTCGGTGTAAAAAAAAAATGTTGTTTATAACTATTTATACCAACACTATCTTCCTTAATAAAAATGTACATAATTTGCACACTTAAAATTGTCTGTTTTTTCTCTTTGTTTAAGTCAGGGGGTGCACAGTTTTTAGTTCACTAGACTTGTCCAGTGGCCAAAAAAACTTTGGTTGACTGAACTTGTTGGCCTTAAATAGAGGCTGTATTATTTATCTATATTTGTTTGTGGCAAATACATAATGACATGGGAGAATTATAATGGCAACACAGCTCTGGAATCATAAAATAAAACCAGCTTTTGCCAATGCATGGATTCAAAGTCTTCTTCGTAGATTGAAGTTGGTTCATAATGGAAAATTTGACTTATTAATGTTCTAACGGTGGAGGAAAAACTTGTCTGACTGTCCTCAAAATCACTCCTCATATTTTGTATTTATAGCATGCGTTTCTCAAATCAATCATTATCTAAGACTCCAAGCCTCGGTTCATTTTATAGTATAAATATATATCATCGGGGCCAATGTGGCTTCATGGGTGGCTGGTCAGGCAGTAAAAAAGCAATCTCAAGTCGAGCAATGAAATGTAAAATTATTACTGTAGAGTTCATGCACAATTCAAGTTATAAATCAGGGCTAAATATGACATCGAACACAGGAACCCCACTAAGAGCGGTCCAGGGGCCACAGGGAACACTATGTGCAGGATGGTCAGCTTGGAAGCCAATAACAACATCAAAGGAAGCAGGTCCTGTTTTTGTTTTATCTTGAAGAAAAATGCGTACCTGTATTTTACCTAACAGCACCAACTACAGAGCCTAATGGTAAGATTTGTTTACCTTGTTAAGATGGTCACCTTGGAAACATATCTGCTGATGTTACTTCCTGCGTAGGCCTTGCAGATCAGGCATGTAGATAAGGCTGACCACACATTGGATGCTGGGAGCTGAAGCCAAAGCTGCATTGTCCTTCTTTCATGTCCTAAGCAGAAAAATGCAATGTGGTTATTTCCTCCTCACAAACATTGTTCACGTGTCTTTGAGCATCTATTTAAAAATATTGTCTCTTGTTATCTAAATGAGATTGTCAATAGGAAATGTCATCCCACTCCCAAATCTTTTCTCTAACCTACACTTTTATACATTTGACCTACAGTATAAGCTAAAACGTATAACACTCTCCAAGGTCTGTTTGCCATGTGCCTCACACTCACACCCCTTTGCTACGGCTGATCCTGTACACACGCCGTCAGCTCCTGTCCAGACTCTACTGTAACCGTCTCTGTTTCCCAGGACCAAACTAAGCTGAAGAAAGGAAGAAATAACACTTACATACACTTACATACACTGATAAGGTTCTGTCTTACATCCCTGTACACTGTAAAAAAAGAAAAAGTTAGTTCAACTCAAAATTTCAAAGCAACCAGCTGCGAAGGATTTTTAACTAAATTCTTCACATTTTGAAGAACTACACTTATTAAGCTGTGTCAGCTAAGTTTTCCAAGTTCTGCCAACTAAGTTTTTAAATTCAAGTTACTGGAAATTTCAAGTCTGTAAAAACTTACTTTTTTAAGTTCAGATTACTGTCCCCTACAATAACTTACTATTTTGAGTTTAAATTAGCCCCCACATTAAACCATCATGATGTTTATTTATATAGCGCATTTTACCGACCAAGGTCACTTGCGCAGTGGAAACCGGAGCACCCGGAGGACACCTATGCAGACACAGAGAACATGCAAATTCCACTCAGTAAGGCCCGGTTCCGACCGGGATTTGAACCCAGGACCTTCGTGTCAAGAAGCGAGGGTGCTATCCACTCAGCACACACTGTGAACCAGATTAGTGGGGAAAACTAATGTTTTTAAGACTGACCCAGAGAATATTTAGGGCTACTTTGGCTTAGCCCTGTCGATTACGGTTGGTAAATATAAATACAATGATTTTTTTGGTCAAATTAGTTTTTTGAAAATGTTGAATGCAGCTGGTTGCCATTACATATATTTAAATGAGCAAACGCAGATAAGATGACCTCACTCTAGCTCGGTGAACTGTAAAAACGACAACTCAAAATTGTTCACCTTACTCAGATTTTTGCATTCACTGACAATACAATTGCCAGTTGGAACTGGAATTGTCTGTTGTGAGCCACTTGAACTCACTTTCAGAAGTTCACTACAAAAATCTTAGTAAGGTGAAACATTTTGAGTTGTATTTTTTACAGTGTACTTTGTGGACTTTGCAGCCTACAGTAGATAAAATGTAGTATAACTGTTATGATTTTAACTTGGATGCTTGGCACTCCTTGAACCACAGCCAATCCAATGCTTAGGAACCAACACTCACAACTTTCCAACTGCCTCATTCTTATCATGAATGAGAAAAGCAGGAGGTTCTTGACAGTATTCAGAGAAATTACTCAAAATGATGACTCAAGGATGATTTATTGACTGCTATACCAGAGAGGAATATCTCTGAGAATCCTCTAAAATTCCACTGGTTTCTGTAAATGTGAGACAACATCCAGATGAGGAGACCGTCCACCAAATCCCACTGCTCAAACTGATAAAGCAGCCGCTGTTGACGGTCTCCTGAAGAAGATTTCAAGGTGAATACAGCAGAATTAGAAAATAGATAAATTCGTTTTTTTTTTACACTTATGTTTGATGTGTGATTTGTTATTAATTTAAAACAACAAAAGACAGAACAATTTGCATACATGAAAATAATAAACTGTCATGGTCATAATCCCCAGTTTAATTGAATTTATGATCAAGTTGGACCCCAATTGTTGTGGATACATTTACAACACGTTTAAAAGTTGGGGTGAAGGTTAAAGACGGCTGGATTTGATCTCTGCAGCGTGGTTTTTTTTTTTGTATTCCTTGTGTGATTTTAATGTTTCAATGGTTCTAATTTCTTGTGTAATTTAATTGTTTTAATGTAAAAAGCCCTGCACTACTATTGCCACTGTAATTGCTACTTTTATTGTACATAATATCCTGCATTTAACATGTTTGCACACTTATTTCTTTTTTTCTTCTTGAGTGATTCTATCCATGCCAGATGTGACATGTAAATTTCTCTTGTGCGAGATCAATAAAGTCTATCTTATCTTATCTTATTTTAATGTTTTTAATTACCTGTATGATTTTAATGTTTTTTATTACCTGTATGAGTTTGATGTTACCTGTGCCATTTTTGTTTTTGTGTTTTAAATGGTAATTTTTGTTTTATATGATGATTTGTGCCTTGTGTGATGTGGCATGACTGTTGAGACATGAAAGATCAATTACTCTTCATTTTTTATCAAGTTAAGTTAAGTAAAAGCTCTGCGTTTTTCAACATATCCTCGACACTAACTCTCACACTTTAAAATTGCACCTACGTTTATACCTTTTAGAAAGGCACTTAATCGTCCGTATAATGAAGTCGTTAGCAGGCGAGTCGATAGTGGCATGTTAATGACATTTACATTGCTGAGAAGGAAAAGTAAATGTGATTTACACTGACGATGTCTGAGTGTATGCGTTCACATGGGGCTGTGAAAGAGCGTGACATCAGTGTTTCCACAGGAAGTCATGTTTTCCAAAACTCTGCTTTTCCACTCTGCCGCCTTCCTCTGGGCTAATAATCACGTTTATGTCCCAGGTTTACTCTGTCTACGGCTCAGTGCGCTGTCGCTGACACTAGGGAGTAATGCTAGAGCTCCCATATGCATTAGTGCTGCCTTTTTATCACCCAGATATTTGAAACTATGAGAACTCCCAGAGCCGTTATTGTGACTGCTCCCATTCAAACCAATAGAATTCTAAGATATTCCCCCGGTTTTTCAGGAAATTTATTAAACGGAAGTAATTCATAAGGTTTTTTACCTTTACACCTATTTAATAAGTGCTAAAACTTGTGATTTTACCTGAAATACAGCAACAAAAAACTAATGCTAACTTAGTTAGTAAACAGTGTGTTGCTATGGTAACTAGCACTAGCTTTCATCTGCTGATAAAACACTACACAACCTCCATCCATCCATTTTCTTCCCCTTAATCCATTTCTGGGTTGGGGGAGTGGCAGTCAGAGCTGCACCAGTACACAGAGCACCAGCCCCTCACTGATCCTCCTGCAGGTGGTGAGTCCACAGGAGCTGAGATCTTTCAGCGGGGGCTTCAGGCAAAGTTGGGTTAAGTGTCTTGCCCAAGGACACATCGACAGCAGTCACCAGTGGGAGTTATGAAGTAGGTCTTACGGTGGGCTCGAACCCACGACCTTCAGGCTCAAAGGCCAATGCTCTACCAACTGAGCCACTGTCGCCCCAGCCCCTACACAACCTGTTCTATCCATTTACCACATGCTACTTGCTCAAGACACACCGTGGATGCATAAAACTAGATATGAAGAGAAAACAGAAAACAAACCTCCAATGAACAGACTTCTTCCACTTCCTTCTCAGATCATATCTCTATTTCAAATGAATTGTGTGAATCTTGATTTCACAAATTGACACAAACCTTTTGTGGGCCTGGACCATGTACAAGGCAAGTGTATCTGACTATCTGTATAACAAATAAGTGCTAAAACTGGTGATTATACCCGAAATACAGCAACAAAAGGCTAATAATGCTTAACCTACTTCTGACACTAAACAGTGTGTTGCTATGGTAACTAGCACTTGATATCCTCTGGTTTAAAACAAAGTAAAAGTAAAAATACACACATTTTAAAAGTAAAAATTAGTTTAACGAAAAGTAATAACATAAAATCAAAACTCCTCATAGAAAAGTTGTGAAGACCAAGAATGTATCTGAGATGAGTAATTACACTTCCAAAACTAACAGCCATATGCGTCATAAACAGAACGTTAAAAGTAGGCACAGAAACATAATTCCATAATTCTAGGGAGAAAAGTGAATAGTAACAATCTCTGAGCTGACATGTTTCTCTGAGTCGAACCATGTCCGCAGACTACTTTGAAATCAAATGTAGTCCTTTCATCTGGCCGCCTTTCTGACAAAGCATCTCAGTATTTTGAGCCAAGCAGATCCATTACGGTGAACTGTGTTTGTACAAAGCATGCGGCCGTGCACCGTGGCGACTCCGAGCCAAACACACAAATGGAAAACTAAACATGTTTGTGAAATGTGGAAAAGAATCCTACCATTAGTACGATACAGACCATTATTCCCAATCACCTGTGAATGAACCAAAAAAAGTTTCTATTTAAGTTAAAGGTGATGTCAGCAGCTTACTTTGTATTTCATTTTAAAGGAGTGTATATTTCTGATCATAAGGGCACTTTACTATTATGTGCAGTCACTATTATTCAACAACAATACTTTCAAAAAAGTCACCCCCTCGTTACAACTACGGCCGTTTTGAGGAGAATAGTTAAATCAATGAGGAAAGGCAACAGGATTTGAAATAATTTTGACTAATCAGGAAGTTGCTAAGGGGTTGGGCATGGGCGGGTTTAACCAATTCATGTCTACAAAAAGGTACAGCCAAGCCCGCTAGGACTTTTATTGGTCATAATCTACATGTATAATCTTCAGGCTTGTAGGTTTGCCATCCACCTAAATGAGAGTTTAGAGTCCACACGTTTTAGTAAGGAGGCCACTTTAGTTAACCAGACTAAAACCCTGGATTTAAAACTATTTTGACTGTGTTTTGGGGTGAGATAAAATGTCCATATTGATTCACGGGAGGAGACGCTGGAACGCCTCGGGATTAGACTACCGCCCCCTTAACTCAGCAACAAATTAGTAGTAAGTAATCTTTATTTATATAGTGCATTTTTACAGACCAAAGTCATTCAAAGTGCTTTACAATGTTCAGAGTTCAGATATTGTTCGATTCTCTCCACAAACGGTGATGACGGAAGCGAGACCCCAATCAAAGCCCCAAGCAACACCATCCATTCACTCTCTCACTCATTACTTTCATACCAATGGTGCATGTTTTTAGTGGT